TCCACTGGACACAAATGTAAAGGAGACAATGACCATCAATATAAGCAGACCCCTCCTCCATTGACCTCAAATGTAAGAAGACCTTCTCCACTGATTGCCAATGTCACTTTCGCCACTGACAACCAATGTAAGGGGGCCATCTCCACTGACCACCAATGTAAGAGGGTCCTTCTCTACTGTCCACCAATGTAATGTGGCTTTTGTCCACTGAACACCAATGTAAAGGACTTCCACTCCACTGACCACAAATGTAAGGGGGCACTTCCCCACCGGCCACTAATTTAAGAGGGTTCTTTCCTATGTTTGTTTCATTTGAAATCAATGATAATTTTTGAAAACATTTTTGTCTTTTTGAGCAGGGGGTTGTTAAAAAATGATCCACTCTGGTTGTAAAATAATAAAGGTACACAACTTTTTATTTCATATATTTGTATATCTACAACTTTACCGACCACATTTATATAGTGTGGGCTGTAGATAAAGTATAATAGGATATTTGTACTTATGGTAAATCATTTTCTTGGAGTCTATTGAAGGACACAGGAAGTCTTAAAGTGGTTCTAAAGGTACAAGGATTTTTACCTAAATGCATTCTAAGCATTACGGTAAAAAAACCTTCAGCATGCATCTCCCTCCAGCCCCCCTAAATATTTAACTGAGCCCATTCTTGATCCAGCGATGTACACGAGAGCAGAGGCTCTTTTGGTTCGCTTTCTCCTCACTGGACAGAGAGGCATTGGTTCCCGCTGCTCTCAATTACAGCCAGTGTGGAGAGAGCAGGGGGCAGGACCGAGCTGTGCTCTGTGTGTCAATGGACACACAGAGCTGGCTCAGGAGTGAGCATGCATGACTGCCCCCATAGCAAACGGTTTGACTTGGGGGCACTCAGCAGGGGGAGGGGAGAGAGCCAGAAGTGCCATCCTTGGACCTCAGAAGAGGAGGATCAGGGCTGCTCTGTGCAAACCAGATCAGTAAGTTTTCTATACCTGTTGGTAGAAAACTAGTAAGTTTTCTATTCCTGTTGGTAGAAAGGGATCTGGGAACACCCTGTACAGCAGGACCATCTCCCCCCATGTCTAACACATGTTGCAGCTGCTATGTGGTTAAGCAATGCACAGGCTTAAGGTAAAAAGCAAGGCTTCAAGTACTCATGAAATACAGAGAGGGCACCCAGGTAGCAGGTGAGGGTATGTGGCCGGTCAGATAGCTGGAGGTGAACAACATCTCTGTAGGCGGGCAGCAGGAATGAATCAAAAATTTAAATTCCATGTGGGTCCTTGCAGCAGGAGCAGCAGCAAGGAGATACTTCCCTGACAGTCCATACAGCAGAAGGTCTCAGTGCCCTGAGACACAGCATCAACCTCTTTCACATCAAAGCTGGCAAGAGATAGAGAATTATGGTGCTTGGTGACCAATAATAATAAGGGAGCCCCCGGTGCTTGGTTCGGCCGGCTACACATTGAGTTTTCAAAGACAACGCAAGTGTAGGGGCAATGCCAGTAACTCAACCAGAAATGAGAAACTCAGCTCTGAAGGTCTCTTCCAGGCTTTCCTCGCAATGTCCAGTCCAGTAGGGTCTGGATGCTGTATGGTCCAAAATCCAGGCTGAGGACATCTGTGCTTGACAGATACAGCCCTAGTAACGTTGAGAAAAGTCTCCACTGAAAAAAAAATGAATAGGAAAACGTTGAAGAAGAAAAATCGCAGGTTAGTGTCAGGAATGGACTCACCACTGGTGGTGGGACTCACCTGCCATGTGGGCTGAAGTACCAGGGCTGGCCAGCGGGTGCTCTCAGCAGCCAGAAGCACACTCCTGCAATCAAGTCATCACCTGAGGCTGATTGCAGGAGGTGTATTTAAGGAGTTGCCAGGCCTGCAGCCAGTGCCTTGGTGTATAGTTTCCCTTGGCCCCTGTATCCTGATCCTGCCTGCTTGAATCCTGACTCTGCATGAACTCTGCCTGTACTGACCTTGGCTATTCCTGACTACTCTTCCGCCTGCTCCTTGTACCTTGCCTGCCCGTTTGCTACCAACCCGGCCTGCCCGACTACGTTTAGTATTGTTCTTATTGTTATCTGTTGGAGTTATGGTTTGTTTGCACTGTGTTTATGTTTAGTCTTGCACTGCATTTTTGTATTGTTTAGTCTTGTATAAATTGTATTGTTTATACTATACCTGAAGCCTGCGTTTCCCTGTGTCAGTACACACACCTCTGGTCATACCTTGAGCCTTGACAGTTAGTCTTTCACGCAGCAGAACTGAAAAAAAGATGTCCATCCTCCTAGGACACTAGCAAAAATCTGAGGCATGCTGGGTAGAGGAGGAGTTATCCGGTGCTGGTCTACAGTCTTTTGTTTGCCAGTGTCCATTCCTCCTGTAGGTGGCAGTATATCTTGGAGGTTTAAACCCCAATTACGTGTAGAACAAAAAACCCCTTGCATTGGACCCCCCCCCCACACACACACTGCAAAGGTTAAATGGTCATTAAGCTTGGGTGGTAGAATGAGATCACTTACCTGACTGCCTGCTCCAGCAGGCTCTGGCCCTGTCCTCGTAACCCTAAAGCTTGTGTCTTTTGCACGAGTCTCGGCCTCATCACCTACAATGCAGAACTATTAACCCTGTACTGCAGAGGAGGCAGGAGTGCAACCGTGGTCAGGAGCACCTTACTGAGAAGTCTATAAATAAGGAGATGCTACTGCCAGGGGCGGACTGACAACTCATGGGGCCCCTGGCAATAGGGGATCATGGGGCCCCTGTGTCCTTGCCCACACTCAAAAAAGCCTATAAAAAAGGTATCAGGGGCATTTCATGGGGCCCCCTACTGACCCCGGACCCTCGGGCTGTGCCCGAGTGCTCGAATGGTCAGTCCGCCCCTGGCTACTACTGCTCCCCCCCAAAACTTACCAAGCATTTAACCTGTGCAGTATGGGGGGGGGGGGCCCACTGCAAGACTTTTTTTTTTGTTTTTTTTGTGCCTCGAGTTGAGCTTTAGGAGTTCCTGTATCCCTCAAAGAACACGAAAGCTATGAACCCTATACTTTACAAAGAAGAGGCGGAGTTCGACTGTGGTCAGGAGCACCTTACAGAGGAGTCTTCAAGCAAGGAAAAGGTAATGCTACAGCCCTCGAGACTTACCAAGCATTTAACCTGTGCAGTATGGTGGGGCCCCACTGCAAGTTTTGTTTTTTTCTTTTTTGTGCCCAAAGTTGGGCTTTTAGGAATTCCTGTATCCCAAAAAAAACACGAAAGCTATTAACCCTATACTTTACGAAGAAGAGGCGGAGTGCGACTGTGGTCAGGAGCACCTTACAGAGGAGTCTTCAAGCAAGGAAAAGGTAATACTACAGCCCTTGAGACTTAGCAAGCCTTTAACCTGTTCAGTATGGGGGGGGGGGGGGGGCACACTACAAAGAGTTTTTTTTGTTTTTTTTTGTGTGCCTAGAGTTGGACTTTAGGAGTTCCTGTATCCCTCAAAGAACACGATAGCTATTAATCCTATACTTTACGAAGGAGAGACAGGAGTGCGACTGTGGTCATGAGCACCTTACAGAGGAATCTTCAAGGAGAAGGTAATACTACAGCCCTTGAGACTTAGCAAGCCTTTAACCTGTGCAGTATGGGGGGGGCCGCACTGCAAGTTTTTTTTTTTTCTTTTTTGTGCCAAAAATTGGGCTTTTAGGAATTCCTGTATCCCTCAAAGAAAGAGAAAGAAAATCATTTTAATCGCAGCAATTATTTTCAGGGTTCTTCTGTAGGGATGCACTGATACCGATATCAGTATCTGTGCCAATACCGAGTATTTTCAGGAGTACGAGTACTCCTGAAAATACCCCGATACCGTAACTGATACTTGGTTAGCAGCTGGCCAATCCTGACTAGGAGCAGTGGGGAAACCGCACCCCATTTGGACAGGAATCACATTCCTGTTCAAATCGCATGCTATTCTTTGCGGTGCAATTTGCGTCCATTAACGCAAATCGCAGCGCAAAGTATCAATACTCAGTATCGGCGAGTACTTGCCCAAAAGTATTGGTACACGCCGATAAAAAACAATTTTTTATCGGCAAGTACGAGTACCAAAACATTTGACCGAGTACTCACCGATAAAAAACAGTATCGGTGTATCCATGTTCCTCTGTATTGAAAAGGTTGATAAAGGCTTTCTTAAATGATCTGAATGTGACCTGGAGGGAATCTGGTCTGCAGGATCAATTCGGCTGGCTTGGGTTATTGGAATTAAGAAGTATCTCTAAATTGTACTGAAAAATGATTTTGAGGTCATTATGGTAATGTAAAGTCAACAATGCACATAGATGGCTTGATGATCACACCATGATACAGACTAACCTAGAACCACACTAGCAGTTGCTTAGCTAGCCTATTAAAGTTTATACGTCCCTGGGGACAAGAAGTAAATAACATTTCATTTAAATATCTAAAATCAATTATCCATCTTTCCTTGGGAGCAAATGAATCTGGACACACAATGGAAGAAGGAGACACACAAAGCTCAAAGAGTGCCTGAGAGGTCTCCCTGGGGGCAGGAGGTGGAGAATGCGGGCAATTATCTGTGATTTCTTCTCTCCCTGGAGCCCCTGGTAATGCTAATGAATGAATGTTTTAATCCAGCCAATAATGGTTCTCAGCAGCTGAATCCCTCTGGCTGGATTATTGAAAACTCCTGAATGTCTTTTTGTCGACTTGACAGCAGGATTGGAGAGTTGTACTGTGTCAGCCATCGATGAAAACGGGAAGCTTGAAGTTGACGTGATACATTTATTGGCCGGGTGATACTTAAAACACAGCACACCCTCCAATCATGATTGGGATTTTTGTTGAAACCAATGACAAAAATAGCAAAACGTTTTCTAAGCCAGCTTTTATCAACCTTTTTAAAATGGAGGAACCCTTGTAATAACTTTTCAGCCTCAGGGATCCCCTGATAATAACTTTTATCTACAGTTTAAGGTACATTAGTATAATGGCCAATGGAAAGAATGCCCCTTACATAGGTAATCGGTGGGAAGAATGCCCCTTACATTGATGGTCAGTGGGAAGAATGTCCCTTACATTGGTGGTCAGTGGGAAGAATGCTCCTTACATAGGTTGTCAGTGGGAAGAATGTCCCTGACAAAGGTGGTCAGTGGGAAGAATGCCCCTTACATTGGTGGTCAGTGGGAAGAATGCACCTTACATTGATGATCAGTGAGAAGAATTCTCCTTACCATTAGATACGCACATTCCTCACCCCCCAGACACCACCAAACAACTCATACACTCCCTCATCATCTCATGCCTGGACTATTGCAACTCCCTTCTCACTGGCCTACCCAAATGAATGCTATCCCCACTCCAGTCGATCCTGAACTCAGCGGTGAGACTCATCCATCTCACCAAGCACTCCACATCTGCCTTCCCCCTCTGCCAATCCCTTCATTGGCTCCCGATCGTGCCCAACGCATCAAGTTCAAGCTGCTAACCCTGACCTACAAGGCCATTCACAATGCCGCCCCGAACTACATAACTGACCTGATACCCAGATACTACCCTACCCATGCCCTCCGCTCCTCACAGGACCTCCTGCTCTCTAGCTCCCTGGTCTTCTCCTCCCACGCCCGATTTCAGGACTTCTCCAGGACTTCCCCCATCCTCTGGAACTCCCTACCCCAATCCATCAGACTGTCACCTACCCTCCTCACCTTCAGGCGCACCCTGAAAACCCTCCTCTTCAGGGAAGCCTACCCCAACCTCACCTAACACCCGACCTCACCTAACAACTAACCTCCTCCACTCCTCCCACCACTCCATCCCCCACAGCCATCTCCTCCTGTGCCATCTTCCCCTCCCTCCTAGATTGTAAGCTCGAAAGAGCAGGGCCCTCGAACCCCTCGTGTATTGTATTGTTACTGTCTTGTCTCATGTTATGTCCCCCTTGCTACTGTACAGCGCTGAGCAAACCCTTTGGTGCTATATAAATACTGTATAATAATAATAATAATAATAATAATAATAAAATACATTGGTGGTCAGTAGGAAGAATGATCCTTACATTGGTGATCAGTGGGAAGAATGTCCCTAACATTGGTGATCAGTGGGAAGAATGTTCCTTACATTGGTGATCAGTGGGAAGAATGCTCCTTACATAGGTGATCAGTGGGAAGAATGCTCCTTACATAGGTGATCAGTGGGAAGAATGCTCCTTACATTGGTGGCCAGTGGGAAGAATTTCCCTTACAATGGTGGCCAGTGGGAAGAATGTCCCTTACATTGGTGGTCAGTGGGAAGAATGTCCCTTACAATGGTGGCCAGTGGGAAGAATGTCCCTTACATTGGTGGTCAGTGGGAAAATGTCCCTTACATTGGTGATCAGTGGGAAGAATGCTCCTTACAATGGTGACCAGTGGGATGAATGTCCCTTACAATGGTGGCCAGTGGGAAGAATGTTCCTTACATTGGTGATCAGTGGGAAGAATGCTCCTTACATTGATGACCAGTTAGAAGAATGCTCCTTACATTGGTGGCCAGTGGGAAGAATGTCCCTTACATTGGTGGTCAGTGGGAAGAATGTCCCTTACAATGGTGGCCAGTGGGAAGAATGTCCCTTACAATGGTGGCCAGTGGGAAGAATGTCCCTTACATTGGTGATCAGTGGGAAGAATGTCCCTTACATTGGTGGCCAGTGGGAAGAATGTCCCTTACAATGGTGGCCAGTGGGAAGAATGTCCCTTACAATGGTGGCCAGTGGGAAGAATGTCCCTTACATTGGTGGTCAGTGGGAAGAATGTTCCTTACATTGATGATCAGTGGGAAGAATGCCCCTTACATTGGGGGTCAGTGGGAAGAATGTCCCTTACATTGGTGATCGGTGGGAAGAATGTCCCTTACATTGGTGATCAGTGGGAAGAATGCTCCTTACATTGGTGGCCAGTGGGAAGAATGTCCCTTACAATGGTGGCCAGTGGGAAGAATGTCCCTTACAATGGTGGCCAGTGGGAAGAATGTCCCTTACATTGGAGGAGCTTAATGGCAGGTTGACCGAAAATGAGAGCTGCAGATTTAATATGTTTAAACCTGTGTGGTAATGAAGATCTACCAGGTACATTGTAGTGTCAGAACTATACCAAGTAGATTCTGAGTTTGGTGAATCCAAACGATTCCTTCTCCATTGAGATGGCGACGTATAGTGCAAGCTGACACAGTTGTATCCTCTGTTTGAAGGTCAGCTTGAATTTGTCTGGAAGTTGATCGAGGTTCTTTATCCACCATTCAAACAATCCTTCATTGCAATCTTTGATCAATTTTTCTCTTTCGTCCACGTTCAGGGAAATTAGCTACAGTGCCATGAGCTGTAAACTTCCTGACAATGTTGCGCACAGTGGACACAGGAACAATAAGATGACAAAAATACAGCTTTTTGGAAAAGCCCATCTTTCTACCATTTTCAGAAAAAGAAATGAGGCCTTTAAAGAAAAGAATACATTTCCTACAGTCAAACATGGTGGCAGTTCACTGGGTTTCTTTGCTGCTTCAGGCACTGGATGTCTTGACTGTGTGCATGACATTATGAAATCTGAAGACTACCAAAGAATTCTGGGGTGCAATGTAGAGCCCAGTGTCAGAAAGTTTAGGGGTCGTCAGAGGTCATGGGTCTTACAGCAGGACAATAACTCAAAGCACACGTCAAAAAGCACCCAGAAATGGTTGAAATTAGAAGAAAGGAATGGAAATGGAGAGTACTGAACTGGCCAGCAATGAGTCCAGATCTCAATCCCATAGAGCACCTTTGGTGAGATTTCAAAACAGCAGTTGGGAAAAGGAACCCTTCCAATCTGAGAGACCTGAAGCAGTTGGCAGAAGAAGAACGCTCCAAAATTCCAGTAGAGAGGTGGAAGAAACTGATGGTTACAGGAAGCCATTGAGTTGTTATTATTTTCCAAGGGGTGTGCTACCAAATATTACATTGAAGGTGCCAATAATTTTGTCCAGTCCATTTTTGGGGTTTTACTTGGAATGTGTCAGATTTGGCTTTTTGTTTCTCCACTTTTTTTGTGTCATACCAATACAAACAAAAGAAAAAAACTTGAAATGCCAAAACATTTGTAATTGCAACAATTGTTGGGGCGAAGTGGCGCATTATCTGACAGAAATGCAGGGGTGTCGAGATTTTTGGCCATGACTGTATAATCAAATATAATCAACTGATTAGCGATCATTACTTGACATTTATATCACAGGTAGATCCAAAAATATATATTTATTTAAAAAAAACAGAAATATGTAGCAAAAAAAAAAAAAAAGTAGACATTTTGATCCCTAATCGGTTGATTCACAATCCATGCCATTTTTGTTAAAATCTTACTTTTTTTTACCAGATGCTATATTTTATCGATTATCATGAGCAAACCACCATTTTATATGTTTCTTATAGTCTTCCTATTGTTAGCCCCGAAGAAGGAAGAGGCCCTTTCCCTGAAATATGTTGGCTTTACTGTATTCAGTAGAAATGTAATCTCAATATCAGGCTATCTGACCGTTCCTGCTCCATGTGGTAATGTGGATTTCAGACTTACCAATAGCCAGATGTACAGACACCACGTTCTGGCTGAGCGTGAGAGCCCAGAGCCGCAGACAGTGCACCGAGTGAACCCCCTGGACGGTCAGAAGAACCTCCTTCACTGAGTTGTATGCAATGCTGCGAGGGAACCTGGGAAACAGACAATAGTCATCCTTCATTACATAGATCCAGCAAGAGATATGTAGAGTATTCTTTGCCCTTATAGCCGGCACCTTGTCCTCCATTTCACCCAACATCATCTCTTCTCACATCCTCTACTCCAGTCCCACATTATTCCCTATTATTCCCATCTCTATATGACTATCGGGCAACAACACTTGGCAACTCATTCCAACAAGTATTAAAAAAGGGTGACTATCAGGGTGCCCCTTTATTAGATTCCACAACAAGGTTCCCTCACCCCATATTACCTCTATCTCCTTCTTGTTGGTTGAAAGGCCCTCATCATTTAATATTGGGACAAAGGTGTCTTGCAAGGGGAGGTCTTTGCTGGCCCTTCCCCAATGTTGAAAGACATGTGACATGATATGGTACAGAACACATGTTCCCTGCCCTCCCTTTTCTGGCCTAGGCTGCATGGTTGGATAAGGATTTGGGTGGAATCTTAAGGAAAATCCCCCACCCAAGACTATGTCATACTGTTTCTTAACACCATTTGCAGTTTTAAGGTACATAGAAGCATGCCATTTAAATGATTTTGTATCTTCAATGTTACCCTTTAAGCCACACGAAAACATCTCCATGCTGAACGTTGACCCATGCAATCTTTTCAATAATAGCCTGCTTATTGGCCTTGAAAATGGTCAAAAAAAATAGTAACATTGGTGGTTCCCATAGACTTCAACAGGGTTGGCCGCTAAGTTTGGGGTGCATGGACTTCTCATTGGGTTCCCCAAGCCTTTCATGAATCAAACCCTTGAAATTCACGTCTCCCTGAGCTTTTCTACTCTTCATTTGGTACCTTTGACCCTACTGATAGCGATACAGCTAAGGAGAATCACTAGTATGGACTTTCCCCAATTTGGGGAAATACATGGACATATATATCGTCTCTCGTATACATCACATATATTTTCTACCTTGATGAAGTTGTTCTCCTCGCTGATTCTACCACTTTATTGGCCTTGTAGGGTCAAAAGTTTAATGATCAGTTATTATTGGCTAAGAGTATATAACACCTGCTTCCTATAGGGTTATATAAAAGGACACCTACTACTACTGGAGGATACAGACCATGCCTGAGGTCATGGGCACCGATCCCTGAAATAGATTCCTGGGGCTCCTTGTCTGATTGATGTGACCAGAGAGGAGTTTTTATTATCTCATTCAATAAATGTTAAATCCCCATACTCTGTGTCTGAGTTGCTTAATCTTTTTTTTTAACCCTTTATAGATTAATTAACATTATGCTGTATGAGATTTATGTAACAATTCTCATGTTCATCTTCCATTTCCTCTCCTTTAATTTCCTCATTTGAAGCCTTTTGTGAGGTCTGCAACTAAAAAGCAGACAATCCCATAATATG